GACCCTGGCATGGTGTCTGCCTACGGACCAGGACTGGAGGGCGGCACCACAGGTAGCACGCTGCCCCTCTACACAACAGAACACAATAAAATGATAGCAGAAGGGAATTTTTTTCCCTCTTCATTGTCACCTCAGTCTTACCTGTTGTGTCTCGTGTTTTTCTTCTCCAGGAACTTCATGTGAATTTGTGGTGAACACGAGCAACGCCGGCCCCGGAGCTTTAGCTGTGACCATCGACGGGCCGTCCAAGGTGAAGATGGACTGTGTGGAGTGTCCAGAGGGTTACAGGGTCACGTACACCCCGATGGCCCCTGGCAACTATCTCATCTCCATCAAATACGGTGGTCCTTACCACATTGTTGGAAGCCCCTTCAAAGCCAAGATCACTGGTGAGGAAGAGGCTTTGTTTCCCCAAGCAGCGCGTACATTTTTACTCACTGTGGGCTCATGTTTCACTGCAGTATAAAGTCCTGTAGCTCTATGGACAGAGCAGGAGAGAAATGCCTCCAACATGAAATCTCGTCTCCATTTCTAGGTTCCAAACTCGTGTCCAGCCACAGTATGCACGAAACCTCCTCCGTCATGGTTGACCCTGTGACTCGTGCCATCAGCTGCTCCCAGCAGGGGGCTCCAACCCAGTCAGACGCCAGCAAGGTGGTGGCAAAGGGCCAGGGTCTGACCAAAGGCTACATCGGCCAGAAGAACAGCTTCAGTGTCGACTGCAGCAAAGCAGGTGTGTACAGTTTAGATATTAACTAGAGCAGTCTTTGTGTTTTTTTTCTCACCCGCGCAAAGGTTTGCTGGTTCAAGTGTTTGGAATGTTGTCTGCTCCGTATAAGCGCTGCCTGCAGTTCAGCCCAAAACTCGAATGGCATCACGGTTTCACTAAGGAACACATTTTTTTTGTTGTTTTTTCCAGAGTTTGATTCGAGCAAATAGTTTATTTTTGGCAAATATCTAAACAAGACATATAGAATAAATTCATTTGGATAAAATACCACAAAGATTTTTGCAGCAGGATCTATTTTGGCCTAAAGTGCACAGAATCCCAGCAGCACAAAGCTGAAAGCAGTCTGTAGTTCTAGGGTTTTATATACATCCTGATGCAGATACTCACCTGTTGTGTGTTTTTCTGCAGGTCGTAACATGCTCATGGTCGGTGTCGATGGTCCCAAAGTTCCCTGCGAGGAGATCCTAGTGAAACATTTGGGCAACCGCCTGTACAACGTCAGCTACCAGCTCAAAGAGAAGGGAGAGTACATCCTGGTGGTGAAGTGGGGAGACGACCACATCCCCGGCAGCCCCTACCACATCACTGTCTAGACACACAGCTCCGCAATCCCAACCTTATACCACTGTTTAAGACAGCAGAAATCCTATCTCGAATCTAATCTATCAATCGTTGTTTACAGCTCCGAGTCCCTCCCGTGTTTCAAATTATTGTATCACTATTTAATCAGTCAGAAAACAAACTCTCACGTCAGAGTTTATCCTTCTTCAAAAGCAACACATTCACTGTAATCCAGTTAAAAAGAGGAATCCACTGAATGTTCCTCTTGTCTTGTTCTTATTTCGTTCTTCTGCAAATCACATCGTTCAATAAACTTAGGGAGGAGAAAGATGCACCTTTTTTTTGTTACTGTAAGCTAGCAGTGCCTTAGGCTATTTGACATTTTCAGCCATAAGTGGACATTTGTCAGAACTAGTGTAGGATGACAGGATAGCTTAGCGTAGCGTAGCAACGGTAGATTGTTTTTTTTGGCCCCCTGCTTTGGATGGAAGGTTACTGTTTACACTGGAGGAGCTACTCTTACACACATACAGTAAATAATGGATTTATATGAGCTTATATGAACAATGGCAGGACTTGGACCAACTAGTGTCGCCCTTTTCTGAGGTTTATTTGTAAGTTTGTTGACACTTTGGTGTGAGACCCTGAGTTGTTTTCATAAAAGTCAGCTTGTCTGTTACTTAAACAGGGGTAGCATTTGTAGAAAACGCTCCGCAGCGCTCACTGGCTCTCCAGCACGTGGTGTTCATGATGCTCCTTAACTAACCCGGTTGTTTTAGTCGCTGCTAGTGTGATCCAGTTTTAGGCACTGCTGTTGTTAGTAGAGAAATCAATACAAGTGATCGGGCGGGGGAAAATATGTGAACAGAGCATTTCACGGTAGCTTAATTGCGGTTTGTGCTCTTCTCTCTCTCTCAACACCGCTGCTGGGAAACACCGCTTTCTGTGTGTTGTTTTTTTTTTTTTTCTTTTGTTAATTTTAAATAACGCGTGACACCAACATGTGCTCAGCATTCGGTCTTTACTTCCAACACAGCGAGGCTCTGATTCAGAGGAACATCACCGTGACATGTGGTGTGGAACTTTTTCTATTAAATTAAAGGGTCTAAAAAGGGAAGTCTCTAAAGTTGTCCCGGACACAAAAGGGGCTGAGGATGATGATTATGTTGTTGTTGTGGTTCGTCCTTAAAACAAGATGACCAAAAAAAAAAAACAAGAACCAGAAGAGAACTTGTTGCTTTGTTTTCTGCTCAGTGTTTCGTATCTCACCCACCGACCCCCTGCCTCCCTTCGTCCCTGCAGCTCGCTCTGTGCCTAATCTATATTACAGAACAAAACAAATCTTGTCCGAAATAAATAAAGAAAAAAAAACAAGGCTTTAAAAGTGATTGTAAGACAGTATTTTGATACACAATAAAGTTGTCTAAGTATTTTTCTGTCAGTTTAATGGCTGTGTGTGTTTTTGTGTGTTTATTTTTCAGTTTTATTTTATTCAAACGGTGAAACAAATGCCATCAAAACTATTAAAATCACTCGAGCAGTGATGATGCTGTTAAGGTTTTGGTTTTCCTCAGTTTAAAGCCTGGTAGTGAAGTTGTGCATCTGAGGTTTCCAGTGAGTGGAAAATGTGTACATTACTGGAGTGAGCAGCCAACGCCCTTCCTGGAAAACTCCAGCTCCTTATTAGGCCTGATTCACTTTGTGCCTCCAGAGGCCGCTGCAGGAGAGGAAGTCTGATGGAAAATCTTACACAATCACCTCTTGACATACACAGCTAGGACCAACAAGCCAAACACATGAGGCCATTTGTTTAAATTATGTCAAGAGCAGCGTGATGCAGCTAAGAATCCTGTATGGAACTATGTGTGGCATTAAATCAGTTCTTCATTTAAAATGATACAAGTAATGTGAAATTTCAGATAAGCTGTCAGTGACCAAAGACGGTTTGGTTTGTACACACTTATGCAAAACCAGTATAAGAAAGTGCATAAGTATATAAATTGAAACTTAATTGTAGAATTAAAATATAGTTCATTAATTTTTCTGAGGATGAAATGATATTTTATTGAAGGGCCTTACTGATTTCCACCTAATAATCTGATTTATTTTTAAAGAAAAATATCACAGTAGCAAAACTTTGCAAGCACCAGCTGCTGCCATTTCACATATATCCTGTTTTAGAATGACTGATGAACCGTCAGCTGGGATAGACTCCAGCCCCCCACGACCCCAGTGAGGATTAAGCGGTGGATAGATGATGGATGGATGATGAATTGTGTTACAGACCTGTTTTAAATTAGCAGGAAAAGCACAATGTTTTTCCCTCTCTTGCCTACTAAAATGTGAAAAAAGCTCTATAGTCTTTTTTTTTTTTAAACAGGTACTATTACATAAAGGGTATAACCTGCTATACAATAAGTGCATTCGAGTAAGTATGTATGATACTTGTTCATGCTGGCTGACCCGACAGTTCTCCCTCCTGTCTTGGACGGGATGTAGCTGTAAATATAATTTCCATAAGGTACCCGACCAGAGGGATCAATAAAATTTTATCTTATCTCTTATCTTAACTGTACACCAAACCCTAACCCTATCGTTTACAATGAAGAAGCCATTTGAACATATGTGATTCACACAGAGCCACTATTGATTCACGTATATACATACATAGAAACTTGTTTTTTATAAAATGCAATAAATATATGTAGGGCAAACCGAGATAAGACACCCCCTAAAGAACAATACAATCTTTAAAATGTATTTATTTTAAATATCAATATAAGATGTACACAGAAGTCACATTTAGAGGGTAATTAAATCATCACTACAACTTCACTATTCAAAATCTAAGTTTGAAATACAGAAAACACCCCTGCTGGATTGAATGTTACCTTGTGATTCATTTTTTTATCAATACAAATGTGTTATTTATTTATTTACATGACTAATTCTGTGTTCAGATTTATCTTGCTCTTGCTTTATCCTCACCTCACCCCCAGCTAGTTCAGCTTTTAAACACATTTGACTTTTGTGTTTGTTATTTTTAACTATTGCTTAGCTATTATGTTATGGCCGACATGATAGTGAACATAATTTATCAGAAATCTGGTTTAAAGTACTGAAACTCAATAATGTTCAGGGCTTCCCTTAAAAGCATTCAATACAAAACACTCATCACAAAATGGCATTTATTTGTTGTTTAAATTAATGAATGACTCTCATGCAAACAGTCCACAACAGTTTATATACTTCTTTATTAAATTGAATAATATATATAAAATAATAGTAGTAATAATATTTATTATTATTATTATTATTATTATTATTATTACTACAATAAACAGGGGGCAATATTTCTGGAAAAAACGTATTTTATTTGTATAGTAAAAATTTTATATTTTTATAATTATTAAAATATTTAATAAATGTAAGTGTACTATTTCAATAAAACATTGACATCGGTTCTTTCATAATTTCAAAACCCATTTTTCTGTCCTTTTTTCTACGTATTTGTAGCAGTAATGAGCCATGTTTGCTACAGCTCTACCACTCCGCCTGTTTCACCACTGACAGCAGAGCTAAGCTAGGCTAGGCTAGGCTAGGCTACTGTCGGTTAGGCAAGGCTTGGCTAGGCTAAGCTAGGCTAGGCTAGGCTAGCAGGATGTTCGGTAGGTGTGCCGAGCAGCGTGTGTCAGACATCGTCAGGAGTTCCGCCCACTGTCCTGCTCTCTGTGCTCAGCTCTCTGCTGCTTCTCAGCTCGCAGCTCCTGCGTTCTTCAAAGGTAAGAGAAACCTTTTCAGGTCACATTTAGCTTTAAATTAAAAAAAACCGAGCTAATCTGCCATTTTGTTTTCTTTAACTGTTTGTGTTTGCAGCTTTCTGCCTGAGTAAAAAAAAAAAAAAAGTTCGCGAAGTCCGTTTCTGATTTATGCTGTGGTCGACACAGTAAAAAGGCGTTAAGAGTATTTAGTAAAGTATTCAGTATTCATTATAGTATTCAGTAAAGTTGTGTAGCAATTGTGTTTAACGTCGAATTACTTTCATTTGAGTTTAAGTTTTGCTTTTGCTATGAACCAGTGTTGTTACAGTTAAGTTTCTCTGCTGAACTGCAGCCTGGCGGGCAGAAAACTCAATGAGTCTCCTCCCTTCTCTGTATCTCCATGCTGCTTCATCGATCTGTGTGTCCGTCTATCTGTCTATCTGTCTCTCTGTGTGTCCATCATGTGTCTGTCTGTCTCTCTGCAGATGTCTTTGAGTGAGAAAAGCGACGCGGAGCTCAGCAGCTTGCTGACTGAATATGGCATCAAACATGGACCCATTGTTGGTATGAAAGACACTCAGTAAACTTTTCTCTGCACATTTGCATTCAGTCATCTGCAACAACATCAATTAAATGTCAAATAATTCTAAATCCTATCACCTCTCAGTGTATACAGTAGGCATATCTAACAGTAGGTGTGACTGCATCTGCTGTTTTGTACTATTTAAAAGCACCAGAGTCAGTCCTACTCAGCTGGACGACACCAGGTTTCTGTTGAGATGCTCTCTCCTTCTTAAAAGAGGGGTTGCGTTGCGCTACCTTCTCTTTAAAATACCACAGACCTGTTCTAGCACATATTTTACTGAGACCTTATAGAGGTGACACACAGCAGAAGGGATTACACCTCGATGCAATTTTCCTTTAATGTCAAACTTGAGGTATGCACTTGTATGTTTAATCTAAAAATACAGTAAGTATTCATATATATAAGCCTACATTTTAACAGGCATTACACCTGAATAAGATAAATAACATTCAGCCATTGATTTGGTTATTTGAACATTCCTCGTGTCAGTAATCTTCATCGTGTGTTTTTGTTAAAATACTGAAGCAGTGTTGGTGTGTTTGTGTGAACACAGGCTCCACTCGGAAGCTGTATGAGAACAAGCTTGAGAAGGCCATGGAGGAGGCTCCAGTGAAGCCATCTTCTGACAAGACGTACTACAGAGAGGAAGGTACGGCGTTCTGCAGGCTGCTAACACTGTGTTCATACTTAGACTGATATCTCTAATGTACATTTATAGGTCAATATTAGGAAAACTTAAAACAAAAAAAAGAAAATATAGAGTCTTTGGCTTATAGCTTGACACTTGACTTGACAAGATGACAGTTCTTCAGTGGCTGCAAGCGGCTCGGTGGTTAGCACCATCACCTCGCAGATAGAAGGTGAGGACACCCGGGATCTTTCTGCGTGGAGTCTCCATGTTCTCCCCGTGCAGCATGGGTTCTCTCTGGGTTCTCCGGCTTCCTCCCACACAGTCCAAAAACATGTTGAGGTTAATTGGTGATTGTAAATTGTCCGTAGGTGTGAATGTGAGTGTGCTTGGTTGTCTGTCTCTAAGTGTAGCCCTGTGATAGACTGGTGACCTGTCCAGGTGAACCTGCCTTCACCCTGAGTCAGCTGGAATAGACTCCAGCCCCCCATGACCCTCGTGAGGATTAAGAGGTGTATAGATGATGGATGGATGGACTTCTCCAAAAACCCGAGAAATTGTGCTCCAATACATTCAATTTAAATATATTCCATTTACTGTCACAGAGGAGTTAAAGCAGAAAATCTGTAATCTGAGAATTTAAATCAAAATCAAATCAGATAAAATTTATCTATACAGAACGTTGACCAAAATGCTGAACCTGTTATCAGACAAGCAGCCGGAAAAAAAACCTAAGATAAGATAAAACTACTAAAATACGAGACTTTTTTCATTTTTTACAGTAAAAAGTGCCTAACCTGTTTAATTAAAATATCACATAGTCTGCAGTGTATTTAATTAGTTGTCTTTGACTGAGGTGCTGCTGCCCTCTTCCTCTTCACTAGAAAAGCTGATCCTAACACAGCCACAAACTTCCTCACTGGGAGTTTTCCTTCTACGATATCTTAGTTTATAGATTGTTGGTTTATGTGAAGGGGTTAAAATGTGCTGATGTGTTTTTGTTGTTTCTTGCAGAGGAGGAGGTTACCTACATCACATACCACAGTCCGGTGAGTCCTGATTGTCTGCTTGTCCCTCTTCCACTCTTTTAATCATCTCACTAACACACCTACTTTCATTGTGACAGGTTCAACAGGAGGCCTACACCAACGTGTGAGTAAAGTTTAACACACACTCAAGGCATGTGAAAGACTTTAATGCAAGATAATTGTAGTTACCAGATGAACCTGTTAAATAGCAAAACCACAGGTTACAAACATTCCATGACAACAGCTGCACTCCAAGTCAAACTCAAGTAAAAGTACAGTAATGAAATCAAATCAGGTTTATTGTCATTTTGCTGAATATACAACAGCAGTACAAACAAGATGAGAGAGCGTTTCTTCAGGATCCAAAAACTAAAAGCAATTTAAAGTGTTTGCATATCTGGATCAGCAGTTCAGCTTTCTGACAGCTGGTGGAATGAAGCTGTTGATCAGTCTGGAGGTTCTTCCTTTAACGCTCCGGAGACATTTGCAGCAGTTCAAACAGTTTATGGAGAGGGTGTGAGGAGTCCTGCTCCTGCAGCAGCTCTGGAGAAATTCAGAGCGAGCTGTCTGTCTGTCTGTCTGCATCCCCTCCAGCTGTATGTCCATCTGGGATGCTGTCATGGAGCCATGTTTCTGTTAAAGCAAACACACAGCAGTCCCTCCACTCTCTGTGGGTTTCTCTCAGCAAACGTCCAGCTTGTTGTGGAGGGAGCGGACATTGGAGAGTAGGAGGACGGTCCTGCTGGTCTGGAGGGGTTAGCCTTTAGCCTAGCATGGATCCCAGCCCCTTCCTCCTCCTTTGTTTACGTTCGTACCGCTTCCTTCTCTCTCGGGTAACTGCCGGCGTAGTGTCAGATCGGACTCCGTGTTGGTGTCGTATGTCCACATCACAACCGATCACCACAATTTAAGCGCCGTTCACTGTCCTGATGTTCAGCAAAGTCTCTCGGCTGTAAGTTTTGCGGAATGAACGTCTGGGATAGACAAGACGCTCAAAACGTTCACTCTCGCTGTCTCCTGAAGGGGCCGCTGCATTATAACGAGATACTGATCCGTTTTTGTTTTGTTTGTTTGTTAAAAGTGGCAGTCCAGCGTTTCCATATATCTAAGATGTTTTTACCTTGATCGTTTTTTTTTAAGTCCACTTGAAGTTGATTTGTTTTTTATTACTCTTCATACATCTTTTGACTTCAGTTTCTGCAAACTAATGTGTAACTACACATAAATGTCGTGTAAAAAGTGCAAATTTCACCCTGAAGTGTAGTGAACCAGAAGTACATCATATCATAATGTGAAATTCCTCAAGTAAAGATCAAATACACTTTTCAACATGTGAAATAAACAGAGCATTGACAGCAGCATTGGTTACTATGAATGTGTTTGACTGAATTGTAGATATATTTAAAGAAAAAGTTTTCCTCCACTCAGGCTGAAACGAAGAGGCAACGCTGAGCCAGACGAAGACGAAGAAGATGAAGAAGAAGACGAGGAATCATATCAAAATACTGAGTGAGTCTTTCCACATGAACTGGTGACACGTTTGAGCAAATTATGTCATTGCTGGATCTAAATAATATATTGATATTTTATTATTTATATCACCCTTTAGCTTTTTTTTCTTACACTGTGAACATATTCAAAGATGATGCCAAACAGAATTTCGTTGCACTTCTTGTACAATGACAACAAAGCTTCTTCTTAAATCTTCTCCTCCCTCTCGCTGTGTTTCAGGCCTCCTGTTCAGGTGACCTACAGAGCAGCCAATCACAGCGCAGTACGATCCAGCGGTCGGCCCGAACCCGTCAGGAGCACGTCAGGAGGAGGTCTGTGGAAGGCGATTCGGATGCTGCTGCTGTTGGCGGTGTTAGCGGCTGTTGGCTACTACGCCTACTGTCACGTGATGAACAGTAACGAGAACCCTTCCAGCATTGAGTGAGCAGATTTCTTGTCTGTTGAGAACCGGCTGATTGGATTTTCCTCTAGTACCATTGTTTACAGTTTTCTCAGTATCTATAACCAACCGTTCATCCAAACTACTTCAGGCTGCTGGACTTATGTTGTGTTGGTTTATCAATGCTAAAATTCAAACTCAGATTGTTGGGCATAACGTGAGAGACGAGATTAACACAAACCCCATCTCTACAGTTATTTGTCTCTTAGTTGATGAATCTAACAACAAATCTGTGACTTACTTTTAAGATAATTTTTATTTCTCAATTGCTGCACAACTGATTCACTCAAAATAAAAATCTAAAATTTGTCTGAATACGGTTCAATATTTTACTCAGTCATGATCGTCTGATTTCCACGTCCCTGCTGTTAATATTATTACCTTGTTGTTAATCCTCTCAGATGCCTGATCAGAAAAATAGTGGACCTCAAATTCAAAATGGATTAATTTAAACAGCATCAAACCCAAAGTAGGGAATCAGTATTTTACCTTGAATACTTCACCCAAACTTGTGGATCCACTTAATATGCAGTTAAAATAAATGCTGGAAAATGTGTTTTTGGAACAATGTGGAGCAAACAAGTTAACGGAAATGTTAATTTTCTGTTTCATATACGGACATTAAGGTAAAAAAATCTATATGTAACGACAGGATAGCAACATGAGATGACACACGATGTGATGTTACACTCACATAACGCCGACGGTGCAGAATTTTCTTTGTACACGTCGGTGAAAGAATGAAGAAACATGTAGAATATCAGTTTTACGAGATTATCCAAACCGCCTGCATCTGACAGTAAACAGGACGCATCAGTCCGTCTCAACAAAAAGCTCTGGGATTCCTTCTGCAGCAGGTCGATCCAGTTTACAGTCGTAACAGAGCACCACGCTGTTGACCTCTGTGTGAAATACTTCCACCTTCACTAGTTTTTCAGCTGCAGCGTTCCGTGCTTTTACTGGATGTTGCCAAGTTTGAAGAAGACTGGATGAACGGTTATTGAGAGAAACGAACACATGTTGAGATTCTTTCATGTACTGGTTAGATGTCAGGGACTTTTTTTTTCCATTCCAACGCTTCTCCATTAATGTTTTAGTGGAGCTTTCCTCAGTCCAGTACACAGTTTGACCACTGTGGACCCTAGAAACACTCGGGTATGACAGTAATATGACAATCAGTAAAGCTTTAAATGCTGCCAATTTTCTATATTTCTTAGCGTCACCAAATCCTATCAAATGACCAAAAAAAGATGCGATTATACGTTTATGCAAAGCCTTATATGTGTTATTATTCTGTGCCAAAGAGTTGCATTTCTGCCCAGATAGAAATAAAAGTGACACATCGGTGAGCTTCAGTGCTGCACTGGGTTACACGGACATGTGCGCTAGTTTATTTGGACTTTATTTAGAACCATGCTGCTGCCATAAACTGTGTATAAAAGATGGATGTAGCCGCTGAGGTGTTGAAACAAGCTGTTACTGCAGCAATGTGTCAATGTCAAGGATGCTTCATCGTCTGTTTTGCTGTAAATGGGATCATAATTTACAAAATTAGCATGATTCTGTGAACAGAAAGTCTAAAAACTAGCAACTGAGACCATAAACTCTTCAGGAAAATCTTTACTGAGGTAACAAATCAAGTGGAAAGTTGGGTTATTTTATATACGATCAGTCTTGTTTTTGCTACCAGAGGAGTCGCCCCCTGCTGGATGATAGAGATAATGCCGATTTGCTTTCACTTTTGAGACCCCAAAGCTACATCTGTTTTCTATTTCTTACATACGGTCCATGGCTGCTGCTCCAAATACCTGCGCTTTAATGTAAATGTGCTGCTTGTGATTGCGAAAAACTGCATGGCCCAGTTGTTTCAGGAAATTGCTGAGTCAGACCTCATTGAGACATAAAAACTAGTCATGCATTTGGTTCTTTAATAGGATTTTTTGATTAGAGTGGTGCTAGCTCTCTACTTTAATTCCTTTGCTTTCTTCCTTTAAAGTATTGCACTATGTTTTCAAGCCATTTTTTATTCTTTTTTATACAGCTTTTTCTTTCTGTAACATGTGATTTGTTCTCATTTGTGAGACGTGTACACGATAATGTCACATCGTACAAAAGACACAGGACTGCTGTTTATGTTTTCTAACAATATAATCAGGAGTTTGCAATAAATATACAACAAAACACAACACTGGAGACGAGAGAATTCATTAAGAATGCAGAAATGTTTATCTCAGTACAATAAGAGACATTAATTAGTTTATTCGGTCAAAGTATAAACCAGCTTTCCTACCAATCTAACATGTGAACTGGAAGTATTTAAAGTATTGTATTTACAAAATAGTACCTTTAAATTGACACAAAAAAAATGTGCAAATTCCGTGCTTGATTCGGCACTGCAAAAATGACAAGTCAGTGCACTACTGTACAGTCTGTAGGCATCTGTTTAGGAGAGGATAAGGCAGTGGTTTGGTATTTACAAGGAGGTTTTTGGTTGTCAGTCTTTGGTGGAGTTGTGGTCAGCGGTTGCTGAGGATGAGGTTCTGCTTGGCGGTCCTCTTCTGGAGCCGCAAGTGGTCGATTCATCGGTTAAAAGTTTGGTCCAGCTGGTGAATCTTTGTCCAGAGAAAATATATTTTGGACAAAGAGCTCATGAGAAGTTACAAAATAGTCCACTGTCACACCACAACCCTCCAGATTTGGTCTAAATGCCACCAGTTATGTTGAGGTCTTCGGGCAGAGGCACCACCTCAGGCTCCGGTATCGCCATCACAGTTGCCGCTGACCTACTGCCAAGAAAAAACCGAGAACGGGAGTTTAAAATGGCGAGAAGCCACAGTGTTAGTGCTGAACGTGTGTTCTGTCAAGGCCAACCTGAGATGTTGGCCTTCGAATCCGAGCGCCGTGATGAAGATGTTGATGAGGACGGTGAAAAAAACGAAGACCGTCGCGACGTTGTTCATCCAGTTCAGCTTGGAGTGTTTCCTCACGTCGTTCAGATCGTACTTCACTGTCGGCACAGATTTATGGAACGGCAAAAAACAAATTAGAAACATGAAACGTTGGTGTGCAGAAGAAACAGAAAGACTTAAAGAGTAGGAACTTTTAGAATGAATTCTGGATGACAGAAAATGTTCACAAATCAACCAAGAATCGACTGAAACAGAGGAATGAATGAAGATGTGATTTTCTGCTGCTTTTGTCTTTCTGTAGATTTGAGATGGATTCCCATTTAAATCAGTAAAGGATGGAAATGATGCAATTGTATTATACGGTCATGGCTAACTGGACACGGATTACTTATTATCCACAGCAAAAGTAGTATCCTTTAAGACTATGCAAAGTCCAGAGCCTGTACATGTCCATGCACAGGTGGTAAAAGTCGGGAATAAAAGTTGTACGAGGCCCAGTACTAGTAAAGGCTCCTGAACAGGAAGTTACCCATAATCCAGCTGTGGTTACACGAGCACTACATGAGCAATGATTTAGCATTTAACAAGGAATGTTCATTAAAATGTGGAAACAAGTAGTATTTTGTGTGCCCAGTGTCGTGAAACGTGGCCTATGTAGTTGTTCTTCTCCGTCTGTTGCCACTGTTGAGCTTTGTGCCTATGAGTTTATTCTGCAATAAAATATATTTACTTATATTTTGAGGATAGACTCCAGCCCCCCACGACCCTGGTGAGGATGAAGCGGTGTATAGATGATGGATGGATCAATATCGTGAGAACACTGAGAGACCACCTCAGTTTTCACACTTCAGGCTGTAAAGTTAGCTTAATTAGCAGCATGCTAAATGGGGAAATACGTGGCATAGTCTGATCATAACAGCTTTAAACAACGTGTAAATCTCACTAATTAGTTATTTCTGCTGGAAGTCCAACAGAAAAACAAAAAATGAATATTTAGCACAACCCACATGTATACTGCTGATCTCCACTAGCTTCATATTTAGCTTTCAGACATGACAGTGGTTTTCTCATCTAACTCTTGTCAACAAAAACAAATGAGCACATCTTTAGTTAAAAATGCTGCTTGATTTTGGCCACATTTTAGCCAGTTACCCAATTTTTAATTTCTGCCATGATTCTGCAGCTTTAGATGCATTTGTCTGACTGTTTGGAGGGAAACACCCAAGAGTGCAGCTTGTTTTCCCACTGAGGGATGTACTGTGACGCCCGTTAAACACAGCAAGGCTCCAGAAAACCTAAAACTCCAATCGGAGATGATGGATATCATGTCGGTGGTTATAAACTTTAATTGTCAACCAGGTTTTCTTCATCAGGCTTTGAGCGTGCTCCTAAAGCATCATTGACTTACAGGTTGTTATAGTGAAGAGTTTAAACATAACATTCAAGAGTCATTGATGTCTGAGACTGTCTCATAATGAAAGACGTGTGGAAATCCTCTTAGTTTCCGGCCAAATTAAAGAGAAACTACTGGTATTTCTTGAACATTCTCTGTGAGAAATACAAACAGATGAATTCATTTTCTAATCTGTGTTCTATTAGCTGCAACACTAGAGGTGTAAACAGATTTGGAAGCAAATTAGGACCAAACATAAAAGAACATTTATGCGTTTTTGGCACCACTAACTGAATGCATCAACGTTCCCGTGACAAATCTACGCATACAGTTTGCCTTCTGTAACTGTGTGGCTTTGTTCAGTGGTGATGCTGTTGTACAGCTCTGCAGGTTTGCAGATAAAACCTCAGCTGAGAATCTGTGATGCTCATAGAGAACGTCGTCATGAAAGCTGTTTGCAGCTGTTTTAAATCCTCTAAACAGAACCTCCTCTGGAGCAGGTTAGCTGTGCAGCATCAGTTACCATGGCAATCTAATAGGTTAAAAAAGAGCCACTTGACATTAAAAGTTCTGGTTTAAGGCTTAATGTACCTGCTGAACCACCACCCTGGCTTCACAGTAAACCCTTCTGTTGTTAAAGATCTAAAGTATGTGTTTAAAGAGTCACAACGATGGTAAAGGAGGAAACGATGCAACATTCAGTCACTTGCCGATGAAGACGAGCAGCAGCCCCACGATGACCTGAAGAGTGATGGACACAGACAGCAGGACGAGGAGGGGGATGTAGAACCGGTACTGAGGCCCGACGTAGATGACGGTCTTCAGCTGGGACGAGTTGGCCATCAGCAGGGCCACGTCCAGCATGCTCTGGGCTGCGCTCTTCTTCGTGGCGTAGTGGTTGATGTTGATGGAGCGATATTTTTTGCCGCTTTGGGCCTGCAAGAGAACAAAGTAGAGGTAAGTACTGATAAGATAAAGGTTTGTTAATCCCAAAGGATATTCTTTGATCAGATATTGCTCAGAAAAAAACAGAAGAGATGAGAAATGCAGTGCCTGAAAGTAGAAAATATAAGGATGATACAGTACTGAAATACAGTAAGTGAGCTAGAATAGAATAATAAAAAGTAATGCTGGCAGTTATACTGAGCTAATAAGTAATGTCACACACAGAGGTAATAGTGCACATAGTGTTGATGTTATAGTTTTGATCATTCCTGCAGAAAGGGGCGAAGCTATACAGTCTAGAAGTGCCACTGAGTAGGTGAATTGGTTCTGTTCTGTACAACTCTCCTTTGTTCTCCTTCACATGTCTGACGGCTCCGTACATGCCTCCCTGCGTCACTATGGTGTTGCCCAAACACAGTCGTGTGTTTTGTGATTTGTCTTCAGGTGTGGCAGTGAGAGCAGAGACGGGGAGTGTCAGAGCGATGATTCACCAGAGAGGCAACAAGACACGACATGCTGCAGGGCTTTCAGCTCTTCTAGGCGCTTTTTTTTTTCTTTTTTTTTTAAACATGAACTAATGCATTCATGTGCACAAGGAAGCTGGAACTGGCTCTGTGTCTGAGGGGAAACCCAGGAGTGGACAAACTGTTCTTTTTGGTAAAAAGAAAAATCCTCCTTGTCACAACCTTTAACTCAGACTGAGAAAAAGTTACTGGTTCACCCTTTGAAATCCAAAAACTGACAGCGCGTTTGACATGCATGTTATCTTTTTTCTTTATTTTTAAAGTTTTGTTCTGGCCTTCAGTTGAGAGAAAGACAGGAAAGTGAGGGAGCAGAATGGAGGAAGGACCTGCGGAGAAGCACCATGAGCAGGATACGAACTCATGACCTCTGTGTCGGGGATTACAGCCCCTGTACATGGGAGGCCAGCTCAACCAGGTGAGCTACAGCGGCAGCCCAATAATACACCTTTTAATGACAGTCAGTAAAAACAGAAAGAATTGTTCATAATTGCAACTTTCCGACTGAACTTTACAAACTAATCGTGTGAATTATGTTGTTAAAATGACCTAAATCTGAGCTTAAAATAATAATTTTTATCAAAACCACGTCATTTAAATACTCAACATCAATAAATTGTTTGCTCTAACCAGATTCTTTAAAAAACAAAAAATGTTTCCCATCTCTGCACAACTGAAAAGCTGTTGATGACTCAAGTAACAATCACTTGGCAAACATTCAGGGACTATTTGGCTGAACTGCAGGCTGTGTTTACACAGAGCAGAGAGGAAACTGTGAGTAGTACGATGTGTAGGTAAGTAGTAAAATATCTACAGCATGTGGAGCTGCCGTGTTTTGGTTTTTTTCCTCTGTTGGTTGCATCTGTGGGCATTTTAAAAATGTTGTACATGTTTAGTCTTAATTTTGTAAAGTAATAAAATAAAGTCAGCTTTCACTTTCTTTCTTTCTTTCTTTCTTTCTTTCTTTCTTTCCTTTCCTTTTTTTTTTTTTTGGAATTTATGCCATTATAACTTTGCTATTCTGCACAACTAAACAGTTCTCTCTGTTTCTAGTCATGGTTGTGCCGTTTCAATAGAGGTGCAGGACGTCATATTGCAGAAAAATGAGCCCACAGTGAGTAAAGACGTGCTGCGTTGAGATGGTTCAAACCCATCAGTGGCGTTTAGTCTGGGCTTTGCTCCGTCCTGTAGCTCAGGTCGGTGAGAGGTCACACCTGGGTGAAACTCTGACTGAGTCACAAAGCCTTCGTTCATCCCTACACACAGCAGACATGAAAGAAAGATGCAAATATCACACTGGGTTGCGTCACCAATGACGCCCCAGTAAAGAGACTGGGAGCAGTGGTTTCCAAACTGTGGGTCGAGACCCAAACAAGAGGTCACAAGAACAAAGCTTACTACTTTCTCTTTCACCTTTAGTTCTTTAAAGAGCTTTTTTACTGTAGATATTTTGACTTAAATGAAGGGCAGAATCCTCAGAATAAGAACAACAGTCAGTGAGATCCTGGGGAACATTTTTAATGTTATCAGTGTCTTGTTTTTTTTTTTTTTTCAGTTATTCAAAGAAAACAAGGGGAAAAGAATTACTCAGGTCAAACTGGTCTCCACTAGTAAACACTAGGTAGCTTTGAAGGTCCACACGATACAATCAGTTGTGAGCCACTGCTTTAGAGCACCAGTGGGACTGATTGTTGCGTCAAAGAAAAACTGGACTACAAGATAGCACCTTATTCATTCAGATGAAAGCTGTTCAAAAAGTTTCCCTTCACTGAGGTACCCAGATGATCTGCACACTTCCACAGTTTTGGCCCTGAGAGCATCATCATCATTAGCGGCCTTCATCGAGCCCACGTTCGACCACTGGGCTTAAGTTAAATAATCAAACAGCTCCTTAAAACTCTCCAAATGTTACTGAACTAAATGAATCCAACTATAGCAAAGACGAGTCTTTTCAGAGTTATGTAACACTCATTCAAATCTATTCACTGCTCTAGTGCTGCTCCTTTTCCCATGACTGGGTGAATACATACTTCAGGTGCAGTTGCTAATAAAACAACAACAAAAACACCTATTGCATTATGTTTATTTATATATGTGTATTAGATATATTATTCCTCTGCCTCACCAAGGTAGAACTGAGATTAAAACTTCTGAATTTCTATGTTTGTCTGTCTGTTACACAAAAACTACAGGACCAAAATTCCTGAAACTCATCAGCGAGGTACAGCAGGGACACAGAGGGAACCCGCTCCAGTCTGACATGGATCAAGACTACTTTGTCAATCCTTTAATGTCAAGCAAATTCTTGGCATTTTTCAAACTTTTGCTCATTCTGGGCTCATTTTTCACTGCAATGTAAAGTCCTTCACCTCTGTGGAAACAACGCAGCCATGACTGGAAGTAGAGAGAACCCAGAAATGTCTTTTGTGACGTGGGACTGTGGTATAATGCCACAAATGATAGAAAAAGAAAATTTGAATTTCTTTTCTGTTTATTATACAAAAAAAAGTTGGAATTAAGATGTGACGTGCCACCATCCAAGTACCCACAGGTGTTACCAAGACTGCAAGAAGAAATGCACCTCTACATCCGACAGATTTTTCTCTCCTCACACTTTTTATTTGTTCACAAGTTGCCACCTCTCTGCTGTCTGTAAACACAACCTGCAGCTCAGTTGAAAAGTCCCTGAATTTGGTCACAGCTGAAGCTTCTGAGTTGGGCAGAACTTTTTAGTTCTTTACTGAATCTGTTCTTTGCAGATGGTTTATTTTTGGTGAATTTGTAAATGAGACGCGTAGAGCAAAATAAATTTAAACTGCACTTCACCAATGAGTAGTTCAAGGGCCGTCGAAATGTTAAAATCTGGGTGATTTTCTATAAGATAAAATGCCTTTCAGCCCTTCTGGCAGGTCTTTGGGTTCAGAAGGTTAACAGTGTTACGATGATAAGATCTGTGTTGGCCTCTTGTTTACTTTGTACTGCACCCAAACCCTGACTTAAGGAAATGAATGTAAATGACGTCCAGCTATTACCAGTCATGGTAACCTGCTATATTATTTACATCATTTAGGTTAGCATCTTATGGTAACAGTCACATTTCTACAGGACATGCAATACTTAGATGAACAACAGTAACATTGACTGTATTCATCCTGTAAAATCAAAAGGTTTATGTTTCCTCCAGTATCCTCTAACAGTAAGTAATGAAAGAATAAATGCTGTGTAAACTCATCAGCATCAGTCGTTATCACTATACTGTGGCTGCTTCATCTGAACCTCTAGATCCAGATGTTCATCAGCATGTCTGAAGCCTTAAGCTGCCATAAATAACTAATCATTCAGCCAGTTGAGACACTAAATCTCAGATGTGTGAATGTGCTGCTCACCTCGGCGTCGGCCAGTTTGTTCAGAGCGACGGCCTCTGCGTGCTCCATTCTCCTTTCTTTGATAATCTCTCAGGAAACTGTCCTGCTGCTGCGCTGTGGATTCTCTGAGCTCACTGCTGTAACAGAGAGAGTTTTGGGTGTAGACAGGATGAACAAGTCCGACAGCTCCTCCAGTTACAGAGACCCTCCCACTCCTCCACTGCCTCCTTGTAACTGCTCACTTCGTACGCCATTCATAAAGCATGAGCCTCTTTCACTGCTTCCTCGGGCCTCTTTGAATCCGTGTTGCTGCTCACAGTGTTGTTAAGAGTAAAGATTAAATGTACTTAAGGTAAAACCCTGTTCTAAAAGAGGAAACTTGTGAAAGCATCTTCAACATTTTAACAGAAAATGTACACATCAGACTACAAAAAAAGAAAAAAATAATGTAATAAAATATGAGACATGAATTTTATCACTATGTGTCTGATGACTTAAGAAGCATCTTACATTTATCTTTTATCAGAAAAAAAACTGATTAAAAAGGCAACTGTTAGCTGAGGACTTCACAAGCATTCATTTTTAAACAAATACTTGTATTCTAATGAACAATCGTACAAGTTGTCGTTCAGTTTTTCCAAACTTATGCGTGTGTGTGGGTGTCAAAGATAAGTTAAAAGTTTAAAAGACCAAAGTAAAAACATAACAAAAGAGAGTTCAATGCAACATGTAAATATTCTTTAGTATTCGTCATTACTATTCTTTCTGGAAAGTTTTTTCCACAGAGATCTAAAAGAGAGTAACGTTAAATGTGCCCTACAGAACATATTATTCACTTTGATCTTTAACTTCTGGCAAGAGGTCAGTCATTACATTTATCTCTTAGTATGTCAACTCTGACTTTTCCCTTTGTTAAAAGTATTGTATGTATTATTTGTTTTTTTTACTAAACATCCCTCCACTAAAGCCAGTAACTATGATGTCGTTGATATTTTTTCAACAGTATCTAAATGAATATCTTTATCAGTTAACATTCTAGAGACACAAACCTTTAATTTTAGTTTTTGACAATGAAGTCAGACAATACAGTGTTGTGAAAAAATAAGTACATACCACAGAGATTGTTGATATATTTACTGAACAAAAAGATAAACCAAGCTTGTAATATTTTATTAAATTCTATTAATTCCATTCCTTTTTACAAATGAGAAAAAGTGTCTGTTGTTCCAACAGCAACACGTAGTGGACATCAGCAAACAGCCAAGTATGAACCATATTGGAAGTGAAGGACTTAGTGAAGTCGGTGGACATTTTAGGGAAAAGGATCACATTGTTGGACACGTTCATCCAGAGTTTGTCATCTGTGGCATTGTGTCATTTGAATAAAGCTGCATTTTAAAATAATCTAAGGAGTGTCTGTATGGGGATAACACTTTCTGATCATTGTCCTTTAAAGCCACACCTGTCTAGGATGTGGATTAACTCAGTGGTTAAGAATTTGTCACGATTCTAACAGCTTAAAAAACTTTTTAGGGAAAATTGTCCTTTTTTTAACCAAAACAATATAAACTTGATTGTTTTTATATTTTCTCTAAATCAGAAAATAAGTCAATTTTGATGCTGCGTTTATATTTTTGTTCAGTGTATTTGAAATAGTAAAATATTTGATCCGCTTCTGACAAGCTTTTAGCTAGCGGAAGTTCAGCACTACTTCCGGGTCGGACTCTTTCCTCTGCTACACAACATGGCGGCCTCCTTCAACCTGCAGTGCTCGGTGCTCCGCAGGGCGCTGACAGGAGCTTTCTACCTCCACAACCGGACACCGGGGGCTCCTGCCGCCGTCACCGGGCTCCGGTTTGTTGGTAAAGCGGCTTCAGAAGAGAAGAAAGCGGCGATAATAGAGTCCACGGAGGAATACAAGTTCGTAGAGCGGCTCATCCCGCCCTCACGGATCCCGACTCCGCCTAAACACGACGGTGTCACCCCATCCGGCTGGACTCCTCCGGCGGACTCACCGCCGCCTCTGCCCTACATGATCCGTCGCTCCCGTATGCACAACGTCCCCGTTTACACCGACCTGGTCAGCGGAAGCCGCAAGATGACGCTGGTACGGAAGGTGGAGGGAGACATCTGGGCCCTGGAGAAGGACGTGAAGCAGCACCTGAAGGAGGTGACGGGGAAGGAGCTGCCCACACAGGTCAACGAGGTCACCATGACCCTGAAGGTCAAAGGTCACTTCGAGACGGAGCTGAAGGAGTGGCTGATCAGTAAAGGGTTCTGACTGAGGAGCTGAAGGAAGGACAGATGCTGACGCTCAACATCTGGAGACTTTCTCCTGCAGGATTCAAACACATGGACTTAGAGCGGCGGACTCCAGCTGCGTTAATGAACTCTGACAAGAGAGAGACTTTTATGTTAGACAGTTTATTTACCATTGTGTAATCAAGGTGACATTAAACCTACAAAATACAAACACAGCATAGAAATTGTCTTCTTTTGTGACTTAGATCCAAAACTGTTATTTCTGTTGTTTACTAGTTTCTGAGCAGTTCAACTGGTGACACATTGTTAAGCACTTAGTTCACCTTGAGTCAGGCGTAGCTTCAAAGGACAGTGATTAAATAGTGTATCCTGAACACAGACACTCCTTTGAGTAATGACTGTAAAGGTCCAGCCTAAAATGCAGCTTTATTTAAATGACATGATGACGAGAGAAAAATGGGAATGTCCACAACTTCTCTATTTGTCATCTAAGAAACAGTTTCAGACAGAACGGTGTGACTACCAACCTGTCACATGGTGCTTTAGAGGTCTGACAATTTAATCTTTTTCCTCAAATTGTCTGTCCACCTTACTGAGTCCTTCGGGAAGAGTCAGACTTTCTCCGCTCTATCTGTCCATGAGTATTTCCAGTAGAGTGCGTATTTGGTTGTTTCATAACGTTCTTTCTGTTTTAGGGATGCAGCGTTGGTAGTGTTGCCTTTAAATTGTATGACTTGGGTCAAACGTTTTGGGTTTCCTTCCACAAGCTTCTCACAGTAGTTTGATGAATTCTGGCCCATTCCTCCTGACAGAACTGGTGGAACTCAGTCAGGTTTGTTGGCCTCCTTGCTCCACAAATGTTCTCCAGGATTGAGATCAGGGCTTTGTGATGGCCACTCCAAAACACTGACTTTGTTGTCCTGAAGCCTCTTTGTAACTAATCTGGCGCTATGCTGAGGGCCATTGTCCATATGAAGACCCACTAGTGCCCAAGCTTTACCTTCCTGGCTGATGTCTTGAGATGTTGCTTCAATATTCTCACATCATGTTCTTACTTTATATATGCATATGATTATCTGAACAGATGAATGTGGAACCTTCAGGCATCTGGAAATTGTACCCAAGGATGAACTTGTGTTGTTCCAGTCTTCTTTTTTTTTTCTGTTGTCTTGTTTGTTTTGTTTTTCTTTTTTGTGTTGTCAGGAAGGGGTGTGTTTTGTTTGTGTTTTGCCTTACATCCCCTGGTGTGTTTTGTCTTCACTTAACTCTTGTCTCTTCACTTTTCCTTTGCTTCGCTTGCCATGCCATGATCTTCTGGTCTTTGCTTTCTCGATTGGATTGATGTTATTTTATTTTATGTTCTGTTTTTGCTTTGAGTGATGTAATAAATCTCTCTTTCTTCTTGTTTTTGGCTTTTGGAAATAGTGTTGGTGTTGGTAACTGACCTAAAAGAGGAAAAGTTTAGTCTGACATAATGTGAAGACAGTGAAAAAAAAAAGGTTTTGATGTCTTTTTAGACACTGTATGTAAACTTCTGGGTTCGACTGTATTTAAAGGGCCTGTTCTCTTCATCCATATTTTCTCAGCAGCACATCTATACCTGGGTGAAGCCTCAAACTATCTACAACAGACGGGCTATTTCCTGTAATGACTGAAGCCCAAAAAGATCATCGCAAAATGAGCAGAAAAACGACAACATGTGACAACATCAAACGTGCAGGTAAACATTTACATTTATTCAATATTAAATATACAATATCAACGTTCCTACTGAGCACTGCAGGTTATGGCACAAGCTACTAAAACAAATTCAAACTGTACAGTCACAACTCGTGTTGTATTTGTTAGTATATTGGTGTGAATGATGACACGAACCTGCTAAACAACTTCGTCATAGTCAAGTTAAATAACAAATGTGGTCGGGCTGCACAATGATATAAAACAATATTTTCATCAGCACAGCAGCTCAGACAGATGTGTGACCAAAAATTAGTCTGAAAAGAGTCAAATAAGATGTTCTAATGTCAGATTTATTAAAGTTGAACCCAAATTATTTTGCTACATGGGCTGTCAATGCACAGAGAGCAGCGTAAACATCAAAATCACAGCCGATTCTGTTTATCTAATTTTGATTCCCCCGTTTTTCGCTCGATTCGCCATGCATATGTGGAGTTTGCAACACACTCATTATTTATGGAAAGCAACAGAAAAAGTTGTAGCATGATGCGTTAATTTGCCACATCTCATCGTCGCTGAAACTAAATATCTTGCAGCCCTTGAACAGGGAGTGTAGGACTCCATTAAAGAGTTTAGTTCTCTCTGTGACAGGATGTGTGAAGTTCTGCTGTAATACCTGAGCAACGGCTGTTAGAACACACTCAATTTTTGATCACAGGGCTGTTTGACACTTGAAAAGCTCTAACACACCACAGCTCAGACTCTCCTCATTATTTCTGCCGTTTTGGTGTCTGTGCACCGTGATGATGTTAGTGACGCCATCAGGAATGAAGCTGGGAGAGAAAGTCTCCGATTCGCTTGGTAATTTCCTCCAATTGATCAGCTAGGAAAAGGAAAAAAAATCAACAGGAAACAAATATTTACCAACTTGCAACAAAAAGTGTACATATGAAAGTGTACACAAGCATACACATGAAACATAAGACCGACTTACGTAACGTGCGCTTCTCTCCATGTCTCCAGTAGCGAGGCTGCGTCTGAAGCTGATTTACTTCCTTATTCACAGATGCAGAAACTTCTGAGACTTCTTTTAGCATTTCCAACTCCTAGATACAAGACACATGAAAGAGGAGAGACTGTCAGCAGGACTTGGCACTCAGTTGTCAGTTTATAAAATACGCTAAAATAAAACTAATGCAACAGTCCTGCAAGGAATCCTACCTTCTATTATATTATTTATAATGTTCGGTTTGAGGCGTTGTATCAACTGTATCATCATTGTCGAAGATGTTTGTGTGACTCTGTTAAACTGCACTGTGTTACACTGGTGAATGTGTCTATTATTTTGCCACATTTATGTCACAGTCCAAACTAAAATCTAGGCAGATTTTAAATCTGCCCGGGCAGAACTAAAATTTTGAGTTCACCTAGACCAAATTAAAATCCTTCTAATATCACAACGAGATGCCAAATATTGTGGTTATGTAGCAGTCTTAGCATCTCTGAACAAAGCAGGTAACAGCATTACCATAAAGGTCACAATCAGAGTCAACAAACAAAGCAGCATGTTTCATGTTCGAAAAAGCCTTATTTGCCAGTACCGTGTTGCAGGCCAGCAGTAACTGGTGTACTCTCTGGAAGACGTCTGTCTCTGTGCTGAAGGTGGGGACGTCTCTGCTGCAATAAGCTCTCAGGTCCGTCTCGTAAACGTGACTGAAGGTGGACATCAGCTGCTGCAGGTCGCCCGCCGCCACACGCAGTGAGTTTGGAGAGAAGACGGCAGGACTCTGAGCCTCACCGTTCAGAAAGTCACACTGAGGAGAGCAGGTGGGTCAGAGAAGAATGTGTCAGTTCAGTGCATTAATAATATTCTAGAAATCATAAATAGCCACCTGCAAGAATACTATACCTCTGACTGTAGCTTCTCCAGTTCTGACTGAGTCAACTGTAGAAGGGCGGCAACATCAACAGCCTTCTTTCCGCTTGGCTTAACGGATGACTTACTGCCCTTGCTTAAAGCCCTGTGAGGTACGGGAAAGCCGTAAGAGGAGAAAAATGTTGCTGGCAGCGAACAGGAAACAACGGATTACATCAAGATCCATTAAACTTGTTTGCATCTGTCTCTCATTGGCAGCCTTACAGAATGCTGCAGGGAAGGAGGGGATACAATGCATGTTGCAGGATAATCACGTACTTGATGTGGGCAGGCCAAGGGTCAAATGTGGGTTCAAGCATCTGTGTGAGCTGAGGCAGATTCTTAGCAGAGAAGAGCTCATTCAGGAGCACCTCTCCATCGGTTCTGTTCCCAGCAGACTTCTGGCATCCTGGAACGAGAGTTAGAAGCTGCTCCAGGAACTGAAGCTGCCGGCGAGGACTCGCATCACCCTGGAGAAATTACACACACGGGAAGGACATGAGCTGTTTATTGTGAATATGCACATGACTATAGCTGTGAAACTGTTACAGTTCCAGTAGGTTTTTTTGGCCTTTTATTGCCTTTATTTCAAAGTTTAAGAGAGACAGGAAAGGCACGGAGAAGAGTGGGGAAGAACATGCAGCAAATCATGTGTCGGGAACTTCTAGCTTCTGTACATGGGTCGCCAGCTCAACTAGTTGAGCTTCTGGGATGCCCACATTTAGAAAAGTTCTATGCAATAACTCACCCTGATCAGGTCCAGGTCACCTGCTCTGCACAGCATCAGCTCCTGCCCAAACATAGCCATTTCTGTTTGTACACGAAAACAAATCACAGCAGTGTAAGAGCTTATTTAAGGCTGAAGGAAAACAAACACTGTGAATACAAACTACTCAGTGCAAGTTGTGTTCAAGCATGTTAGCCTTGGAAGGACAAGATTTTACCTTTAGTCATAACATCTGGGTCGTTGGATCTCACTGACATTGCCTTGGAATCAGCAAAGTTTGGGTTGATGCTGTAAAGAGCCAAGATAGGACCGAGGGATAAGTTGAGTTTTATTTTCAGTACCCGTCAAAAGTTTTAACAAACCTTCTCGTTCAATGGTTTTTATTTATTTTAATTATTTTCTACATATTACATACATTCTACATATGTGTTATTTCATAGTTTTGATGTCTTCAGTATTAATCTACAGAAGATTAAAATAAATAAACCCCATTGAGAAGGTGTGTCCAAACTTTTGACTGGTCCTGTAGTAACAAGTTTTAGATTGATAAGAAGAGAAGCAGCTTCCTCTACCTGCTGCAGATCCATGCCAGTATGTCGGTGCGGAGCTTTGATGGAGCACAAAGCAACTGTAACATACTGTCTGTTTCCTGAAGATACAAACCCTCCACCAAAGGACATGATGCAGCCTCAACAAACACAAAACACAGACAGGAATACTCAATTATAAGAGTGTTATATAAAGTTTTTGATGCCTTTATAACAATTTAGCTACAATGTAAGAGCTGTAGCCACTTTTTTGGCAGGTGGAAAGCTGCTTTATATGAGTTGGACTGGTCCTTCAAAGTGATTTCAACCAGTAAAAATACAACTGGGTTGGTTGTAATGTAGGGAACAAAGCAGGTAAAATAACGCAGAGACAATCTAAGGTTCATTACAGAAGAGACTGTTTCTTTCTGACTGTTTGACCGGGATAAAAGCAGCTCTACATAGATGTAAACACAACACCACTACTGAGGCTTTCGTAAAGAAAGCTAACGTTAAGTAACATGAACACATCACAGAAAAGCTAAGAAATACTCAATAAAACGATATCAGCTGGCGAATAGAAATACGTAAAGAAAGACTTCAGAAAAGCTCTGTACTATTTCGGGTTTTATAATACTATTTGCGCCCAAATTTAAACTTATTTTACCTGCAATGAAGCATAAACTTGATGTACAAGCTGTTTGTCTGTCAAAGCGCCCACCATTTTCCAAAGACGCGCTCTCTTCTTCTTCGTGTCTTCTTTTATTTGACAAACACGGAAGTGGCGTCACCAACTGGACAGATTTTATTCTCAAAAAAGGAGCGATCAAATAATAATAATTATTTAAACAGCAATTTGTTCCGTATTGGACACGGTTCTAAAACTGGTTCTGTCATTCTGAAATTATTTGTTATTACTATTTTAAAGTGTTTTTCTGATTAACTATTGTGTTTACATGTCTCAACCTGCTATAAAGGTTAAATTTTAATTTAATTTTAATTGTATTTTTTTTTCTTATTATTTCTATTACGAACCATTTTAAAGCCTAACAACAAAACTCCACATTGGGTATTTTCCAAAATCCTATACTATTATTTACCACGTTTTGCTGAGAATTGTATTTTAATACAATTCTCAGATTTGAATTGAATTAAAATTCAATTCAAATCAATCAGTCATTATTATTTATGGAAAAGCTTTCTAGAAGGTAAAAAAGTTCAAATTGAAATGAAAAATTCATTACATAGATATATGAACTGTACTTATTTTTTCCTTTGATAGAAGACTAAATATATATGTGTTGTTTGTGTGTTTGTGTTCAGCTATAGACAGATTATGTTATTCTATGAATAAGAAAGTTTAGTGCAAAGAATAATATGTGCACATAAATACAGCTATTAACGAGGTAACTAGGTATGCAGAATCAATACAATCCGGGGTACAGAGCAAGGAGATTCAGAAACACTTGTTCATTACAGACTGAAAATTTATCATCAAAGTAGTTTATTTTAATTTAATCAGTCCAGTAAAATCATTCCAACGCTTTTTAAAGAGTAACAAGGCCACTACCAATCGGACAAAAAGTTTTGCTTTATTGATTCAAATGAGATTCATGACAACAGAAATAAAAGATCGAAATGATAGAAATATTTCGGTTTGTCTTTTTGCAACTCCTCACTCAGACGCGAGATGGCAGCAGCGCACCAACCGCCACCAGACCAGAGAAGAGGAAGAAGCAGCGGAAGAAGAATAAGAGGAAAAAGTACGTCATTTCCGGGGCGCGACACGGTCGGTAGCAGTAAAATAAAATTAACCGAAAACACTTTCATGCTGCACTATTCAACTATTTTGTCTCATTTTACGAAAGGTTCCCGACAGAGGACAGTAATTCCTGCTCGTATCGAGGCTTTGATGTGAGTCTGCTGTCCGACCTCCGTTACTAACATGAAGAAGAAGAGCTCAGAGAAGAAGCGCCATGTGGTAGCCTGGGTCAACAAAGCGGAGTGGGACCAGGTTCTGGAGTATCTCTACTCCAAGGACTCTTCTCTGCAGCGGTTCGCTCTGCAGAGGATCTCAGCGTGGAGAGGCAGGTATGCTAACAGCACCCCTGTGGCGGTGGACTGCACGGCGGACCTGGTGAGGTGCCAGGTGCTGGACCGGACCGGCCAGCTGAGCGGGGATGACCTGGTTCTGCTGTACGGGGCGGCCCTGGTGAGGTTCGTTAATCTGATCACTGAACGACAGCAGGGCAGAGTGGCCCGTCCACTGAGGCGGCTGGCTGGGAACCTGAACATACCAGAGTGGGTGGTCGACCTGAGGCACGACTTCACACATCGGAAGCTCCCCACCTTGAAGTGGTGTCGAAAGGGCTGTAAGGTGGTTCTGGAGTGGCTCCAGCAGGAGTACTGGTCCAGGCAGCTGGGTGGAGGCCCTGGTGATGACTGGGAATCACAGTGGGACTGCGAGGATGAAGAGGCTGATCTGAAACTCCAAGAGGATGAGCTCATCGCAAGGCAGAAAGAAATGGAAGCCTACAAGAATGCTCGATCTCTTCTGATATCTTATGAAAAGGAGCAGTATCAGGCTTTTGACGGGCTTCCTGAGGACCAGGAGAAGAGCTTTTGGCCGGGGCCTTTTGAAGACATGAGCTGGTTGCTGGGTGAGATCAAGCAGTTTGCTTTGGAGTCTTGTGATTTGCTGATTGATGTGTTACTGGAAGATGGATTTCTGGTTCCTACTGTTGAGCAGCTGCAAACTTTAGGCTGTGACTCGTCTGACAGTGACTCATCTGACAGTCCCTCTGAACCCAGACTCTCTCAAACCTTCCTGCGCTTTTGGCTCCCGCTGCTGAAGGTGCTGAACTCGCCATCCTTTATTCACCTCCTTCTGGAGAAGCTCTTTGTTGAACTGAAGCTGCTCACCAAAGAGCAGAATAATCACAGGGCTTTCTACATTTCTGCTTGGACTTCAGAACTCATCCTTTGCAACAGCAACAAATTTGAGTACCATTTTGAAACGAAGGTACAGAAGAAGGCCAGAATGAAGGACAGGATTTTTGTGAACCGCATCCAGCTGAGGTGGCAGCAGCTGCTCTCTGCATGCCTGGATGCTCCCTGTATCAGCACGCCTCACTTGCTCCAGCTAATCCTGGATGACATGGAGCATCCTCTGCCTCTGGAAACTCAACAGAGGCTGCTCCAGCTCTGCTCCATCTACACACAGACTGCACACTCAGAACAGAACATTTGTCCGGTGCAGAAACAGCAGCCCATATACACACTGGAGAGTTTGCATGAGAAGCTGCAGCATTCGCGTCGGCACAGCCAGCCCTGGCGCTCTGAGTCGGAGCTGGAGAGGAGTGAGTCCTCCCAGGAGAACAAATGGGCAGATGTTCAGGCTGAGAAAGCAAAGCTGCTCAGAGGTTCTCCGTGGCAGGTGTGCACTGACAAGGTTTTGTGGAAGAAATTTCCTCTTGGAAAAGTCCCTGGACAGTCAGATGACCCCTCCTGCCTCATGGTGGAACATTACTCAACAATGACTGTCTTTGACCAGCCGGTGGAGCTGGAGAGCAACGCGACACGCAGCGTCCCGGGAGCCTCTGCACCAGCCAGGACAGCTGAAGGCCTCCTCTGGAACCACAGTGACATTAACAAGCTGAAATCTGGACTGCAGCTTTTTTGAGTCATGTTTTAATGCTGCGGAATGTGTTGTGCTCCGTGTTGTTTTGACACAGACACAAAATGTTCAAAATGATGTGAACTTACGGAATAAAAAATGTTGTTGATTAATCAACATAAGGCAGCAACTACATGTTTATTTCATTGTCAGTCACTTTGACATTAATGTCTCAGAAAATTGTAAAACGTGCCCGTAATTTGCCTCATCAACAGTCTAAAATGCAAAGATAGTTGATTTACCATCATATCTGACAAAGAAGAGCTTCAAATCCTCTCATTTATGATGCTGGAATTTTAGCAAATTTTAGTCAGACTGAAGTTAAGCAGCTCTAGATTGACACTAACGTTCTTTATCTGAGTCATTTGTCAAGTATGAATGCCAAATGTTGACTGGTTCAAACCTTTTTAAATGTGAGGATTGGCTGCTTTTCTCTGTTGAATCAACTGAAGATTTTTTTTCTCTAAACATTTCTTTTAATATTTAAAATGTCAGGAAGTTGTAGAAAAAAATTCCCCTTATAATCGTCAGTGCCCAAGGTGAACAGTTTCTTCACAGGAGTTGACATTTTATACACAAAACAATTCAGTCTTCAGTATTAATTGGCATTGAAGCTCCAATGTAAAGCAGTTGTAAAAGCCTTAATGTTGTATGTTTTGTCTATAATATTTTCAATGAAACAACAGTGGAACTAGTGCAAGCACTTAACATGTTCTTTACATCATCTTACACATCACATGGGAAGGTTTGATGTGAGACAGAACTGGGATGAGGTAACAATAATTATTGTGATAATTCCAATGGTGTATTAAGAGTGCAGTCAGTGTTTTGTCTTTGGTCATTGCAAAATGTTTTGGAGATTTGGAGGCCTCAGTAAAGAAGATGCTGTACGCACAAGGTGGTTTTGTGTAAATAATTGGTTCTTTTGCGCACTTCTGTTCAATAAATATTGTTTTTTTCTACTCAAAGAATATGAATGTGTTCCTTTCAAGTGGAAGATTTCTGCAGCTGAATGTAAAGATACTCGTTTAGAATGGAGAGCTTATTTACCTTTTGTACGTAGCCAGTAATGATATTAGTTTTACTGCATGTTTTGCCAATTTCACCAGGAATATACTGTTTACTGGACCGAAAATAGTGTTCTGTGAACTGTAAAATACAATTTAATCTTCGGAAAATCAGTTTAATTTTTCAGACTGTAGTGCAGCAAGGAGTAGCAAAATTATGGCAAAAACGTGTAGGATTGGTGAAATAAATGAAACGCATCAAATACAAAAGTAGGTGGGGCGAATAATGTGGTCACAACTAGTCGAGTTTGGGTCACTGCACTGAACCATGGGCTGGAAATAGTTGACGGAAATGCATCAATGGAGAGGCAGAAAGTTTGAAAAATGTTCTGACAGAAATGATCACACAGAGAAAAACATTCTTACAAACTGGAGTCGCAAATCATTTACTGAAATCAACCTGGACCAGCGTGAAACAACAAATCTGTAACTGAGCTTCTCCATCCATAGAACTGAACTGTGTCGTTGTAATTCTACTAATGGCCTGTAGGGGCAGCACGGCGCCGCTGCTGCGTGCAGTCTGCCACAATTCTAACCAGCAGAAAACGAAGAAGAAGAAGAAGAAGCGTCTTCGCAGGTCGACGTCGGTCTCTTCTGTCGTCTTGACATTCCTCTTTTAAATTTAAAGTTGCAAACGGCTGAGAAAGCAGCAGAAGGACGCAATTACAGCATTTGATTTTTGGGTTTGTTTTTCCCTCGGGACGGTAAGTTGGCGGTTGGAAAAGTAGCGTTTAAAAGTGCTGCGTCACTCGGAGTTAGCGCCTCATGCTTTTAGCTAGGTTAGCCGCAGCAAACTTAAAGCTCGTGAGAAATGTCGTTATCAACCCAAATGAGCTACATAGAGTCACTTTGTGTAGTTGGTAACTTTTATTTTACGCACTATAAATATTGAACAGTGAGAGTAAATTCAGGTTCGCCATATTCATCTATTGCTAGCTGGATGCTAAAGCCAGTACGATTCTAGGACAACAAAGGCCTTGTTAGCAAGAAAGCAAAAGGCGGGCAACGTCGCAATATCGATTATTTGCATTTGTTAGTGTCCCTAATTATCTGCCAAATGCTGCTAAAGGCGATAAATTAGCCCTAGATTAATGTTCATACGAGATGTGGCAAATTGCAGTGCGTTGTTAAAAAAAAAATACGCTATCGGGCCTAGCTTTAGCAACAAGTGACTTACGTTGGTAATACGTTTAGCCAACACACACCTCTTGGTTGTTTGCGCCCTTCGAAGAAAATGGAGGACGGCAGCAGCTAATCAGGTGTAGTAGGTCACACAATGTAAATGATTCACATGACAACTCTAATACAGCTGTTTTCAAAGTACATTTAAAGAGCTTTAAATTATCATCTGCATACCAAAATGTTAAATTGTGCTCGTCTGACAGGTGACATGTTGACAACACAACCATTACCGTGTCAGAAATTGAGAAACAACGATTAATAAGTCAGTAGTAAACGATTAATTTAATAGTCAACTATTTTGATAAATCATTAATTGGTTTGATTGCTTCAACCTCTTAAATAGGAGTATTTCTTGGTTAATTTATTCCTCATTGACAGCAAACTGAATGTCTGTAGTTGGTAAATAAATGAATACAATATCTGAGCATGTCTTGGTCCTCAGTGATCAACATTTTCTGACAGTTTGTGGACCAAACAACTAATCAGTTAATTAATAGACCAATCAAGAATTAAAACAATCGTTAGTTGCAGCTGTAGTCAAAAATGACAAAGACAAGAACTGTATTGTGTAGTGTGTTTAACTGACCCTAGTTGGATGCAGTGCATATGATTATATACAATCTTTTATGAGGTCTGTATGCAGTGACAGGACAACAAAAACAGCAGTTAGGGGAACTAAGAGGTATTTACTGTAGCGTTTCGGCTTACAGGGTTTTAAAAACAATCCACATGAACAAGAATGACAAAAAGAGACAAAAAAAATGACAGTGACTTTGCAAGTGAACTTACTGCAGGAGTACAGCAACTTAATGGTATGTCTTCTGTCTCCACAGGTGAGGAATTACAAACTTTCTGGACAGCACCTCTGCAGTCCAACCTTCACGCCACAATGATTACCAGAAGAAGAGGCCGTACTATCAACAACACAAAGTCTCTGGAGGTTGAAGTGGTTGATGCTGTGGAAACTGTTCTCCCGAGTCCATCCGATGAGTTCTCAACCGATGATATCGACGTCGCTGGAATAGAGCTGGATGCCTTGTTTGGAATTGAAGACTTAAAATGGGCGCTAGAAAGAGATGCTTCGTCCCCCCTGTTTGATGTGGAGATGGCGGATCTGGGTGTGTATGGTGCCAAAGACCAAGACTCCGGGCTTGAAGCTTCAACTGCCTCATCTCCAGAGAGATTGTCGTCGGACTCGAAGATGAGGGACAAACAGAACCACTCGAGCGTTGGGAGCAACAAAAATGCCATCGCCGCCAGATTGAATCGTCTCAAGAAGAAAGAATATGTCAACAGCCTGGAGAGGAAGGTTGGCATCCTGTCAACCGAAAACGGCATGCTCAAACAGGAAAATTCTCAGCTGACCAAGAGAGTGGAAGAGTTGGAAGATGAGACCAGGTACCTGAGAGCTGTGCTGGCCAATGAGAGCATGTTAGCCCAGCTCTTGTCCAGGCTGAGCGGTGTGAATGGGATGAAATTATCTTCCTCGCTTTTCCAGGGGCCTGACCCAAACGACCACGACTATGCCTTGCCCAGGAAGCGCGTGAAAGTGGAGGAGAAAGAGACATCTGGTGGAGTGTGTCTGCATGTGGACAAGAATCACGTCTCAGTGGAGTTCTGCACTAAGTGTGCAGAGAGTGCAAGCACGTCACTCAAAATGTAGGGTCAAGTACTTCTCTCTGTTTTCACATATTGAGACTGAGCTTGACATGACTCAGTGTACTGAACTTGAGGTGGATGAACACCGTTGAATTTGTTAAGATTACCTAAGAACTGCTGAATGTGCATGTGGTTGTGTGTGTTGATGAATTCAAGTACACGTTACTGCTAAACCTTGTTGACAGTTTCTTCTAGGTAATGGTTGATCCACCATGTGGGATGAATGGCTTTCTGAACACCTTTACCTGCTTGACTCCATGGTAAGGATCAGTCAAGAAAAGACTTATATTTTTGTTTTGTTTTTCACAGGCTTCAGCGTTCAGCAGCGACAGTAGTACTTGTAATTTTTTCTGTAGTTTCTGCTTCCAGATTTTTGAGCACTTTGCTCGTGTGTTTTGTTTAAGCATTGTTGTAAGAAAGGATTTGATTTCAGTTTACATGTCAAAGAAAAATATTGTGTTAAGATAAAGGTGAAGGTCCACAAAGAGTGAGCTTAAATCAGCTGTCAAATCAAATTGGGAACGCGATCATCCATGGGAAAAGACAAAAAGTCTGTATATATTCTGTTTTTGTAAGAATGGAGCTCTTTGTGAACCTGCACTATTGTATACAAGAATATTTTCATTTAGCGCCACCTATTTTTCTTTATGCTAAAGTGGATTCTGCTGGTGGAAGGGGAAGAGGCTGGACAAGCTGCTGCCAACGTGGCCTGGTATTTTTGTAAAGGTAGTATCGGTAACAAATGGTATATGTGATTATATTTTACCAATACTCCACCACACGTGTAGCTGTAGGTCCTGTCAGTGAACTCATGCAGCATTTTTGTGGCTGACTACAGCTGCTCCATTACTCAGTACACTGAGAGCGATTTTATGTAATTAAAGATCAACTGTAACAAACTGTACATGTGTATATAATTTTGAATACGTATTGTTGGAGGCTAATGGCCTTTAAGAATTGTTGGACAAATAAATAATATTTTCATTACGTTTGAGTTACAGATATCTGCCGAGTCTTGTTCTGTACTGTTGATATTAATGCATCTCTTTTTCTCTCTCTAAACAGCAAGCTCTCTGCCGATAAAGGTCTAACTTTTCCTGAACATTTGGGTCAAGTCTGGTAAAGGTTGTCAGAACAAATGAACGAGATCTCCTTTGATGGAAGTACAAAGCACGCAATGTGAGGGACCACAGGAATTAACCATCCTGCCCGTGTTTTAGCCCACTTACTTCAAAATCGTACATGTTTATTTTATGGCACGTCAAGCTTTTTGAGCCCTATTTTAACACATATCTGTACCTAAAATTAGAAGGGGTTGTCATGAGGGTAGGTCAGCCCACTTGAGCTGCTCTGTGCCAAGCAAATCCTTGGGGGTATATTTCCACTACTGCACAACCAGCGATATCTGTGTTACTGAAAGCTCTTTGTCTTCCAGATATTGGTTATGTTTTACAGTTTCCATGTTAAAGGGAGAGTTGTGTTTCTGTAAAGTAACTTGATATGGGATACTTAAGCCATAGTCCACATTATCTACAGTAGATGGGGTGAGGGTTTAAAGTGGGTACAGCAGGTGGATGGATTTAAGTCTCCACACCCAGCAGACCGAAGCAAAAGCATGGAAGCTAAGCTTTGTGCTCATGTGGATACAGTCAGCAACAAAACATATTTTAGCCACCCTAGAAGAGCCCTACCTAAACAAACAGCATTGATCTCCATTGTAGTGTTATAATTAGATTTTTCTCACAGTTTCACCTTACAGTTCGTCCTTTACTTTGGCACTCTGTGTTCTCCAGCGGTGAGACTTTTCTAAATGTAGCGTACGCTTAAATGAACAGACGATGTTGTTTTCTGCTGGCTGAAATGTTTTGCTGCTAGCTCACCTGCAGAACATTACAGTGCCAAAGTTCTCTGCTGCTTCAAAGTGGTGCAACTGCAAACTTGTGTGGTTCATACACTGACTGGATAAGTCCCTTTTAAAAAAACATAGACTGTCCCTTTAAGTTACTGCTGATGGTGCTGCACAACCTGTTTTCTACTGAAAAGCTAGTGTGATATGTTTTTAAAAGTAATTAAAGGCAGCGTGTTTGCTGTTTATTTAGCAGTGTGAAGACCGTTTGCTCAGCAGATCTGGTTGAAACAGTGCACAGAGGAAAAGTACAAAGAGTCACGGCCACAGTGAGCTGCAGGCAACTGACTTATTGTGCGGGTTGGGAGCAGCACTCCAATTAAACTAAATCACTTTACCTTGCTATGTGGAAAAACGCTGACAGTATCACAGGACTGCTGGTGGCTGTTGTTGGCATTGCTTGGTACAGATAACCAGCCCACAGTGGAGGAAAAAACCTGGAGAGCAGCTGTAACACTTTAATCATAATGCAACTGAGAACTTTGCTGTTTTTAGTGTGAACAGTGCTTCCATGGATTCAAATGAAAAGGAGTGATGGTGCACTTTTGGAAGCATTTACTTACCTGTAGGCAGTGCTTGTGTGTTGAAGCCTGTTAGCCAAAATGAACACGACAACTGAAAACCAGGAGACAACTACACTGTTTGCTGAGCACAATGACTTACTGGAGTGTGGTCACCGTGTTGTTGCCAGGCAACAGGAGTTACAGTGACCATCCGAAACAGTCTTCCACATAACACCTGTAATATTAACGTTTCTTGTACAGTCCAGTTTTTGTACAAGTGAATCCAGATGTAATGTTAGTGGTGGTAAAACTACTGACTGTAGCTTCATCGTGTTCATACATAAAAGTGACGTCAGTCTTCTTGTCTCATTGCCAGTAAGCAGATTTTACATAATTGTTAAAGGTGGAAAATTCCAAATGACGTTTCTGTCAAACTTTTTTTTAAACAAAACTAAATAAATCTTGGAGATTAGTGTAAAACTTACAACAGCTTCTATATATGTATAACAAGCTTGCATGATTTTAATAAGATGGGGCCTGTTTGCATCTATCTTTGCACTTTTCCCTTCTTATGACACAAGTATTGGACGTCCTGCTGTTAGGTGGTTCGTGTCTATGACACTCCCGTGAGCAATCAGAGCTCTCATCGCTGAACACTTGAGGTTTTGAGTTGATTTGATTTGTGCACAACAATAAAACAAACATAACATATTGCTGGGAGAAAAACAAAGTCTGATATTGAAGTACGTGGGCTAAAACTCCAGTCTGATCCGGATAGACAACAAAAGTTAAACGTTTCAATGTTGCTCCAATGTGTTATTTCAAAACTCGTATTTAACGGCTAGTTAAGACTTGATCATCTCATGTCATCATCCGCTGAGCAGGTACAGTCCTCAGATGTGTTCATACCCTCCCATTAGAGAATAAGCAGCTGGAATAAGTTGAAGTTGACAAAAGTAATAATAAATAAAAATGTACTGAAAATCATGACATTGCTTTGAATTGTGGTGCAACAGAAATGCTAAAACAAAAATTAAAGCCGCAAGCGGCGATGGACGGGTCCTCGCCCTACGCTTGTCGGCCTTTGCGCACGGCGGGGTGTGGGGC